GACATGCCAAACCTCCTCAGCCTCCTCAGGAAGTACAGCCGCCATTGGGCCTTCTTGACCAGCTGTGTGGTGTTAAGTGTCCAAGTGAGGTCCTCACTGATGTGGACGCCCAGGTATTTGAAGCTGCTCACCCTCTCCACTTCGAGACCCCAGATGAACAGTGGCCGATGAGATCTCCTCTCCTTCCTTATGTCCACTATCATCTCCTTCAGCTTGCCCGTGCTGAGGCTGAGATTATTGTCCTAAAGCAAGAGACAAGAAATGTCGTAGGAAAAAAGTGTTAAGTTGAAAAGCGAGCATTTTCTCTCGCTCTGAGCTCTTGGTCCAGGCTCAGAGCATCCCTGGATGCCAGAGCCTTTCATCATTTGGCAGCCTGGCTCTGCAGTTCAGTTTTACCTCCTGGCTGGAGGCAAGCAAAGCACCACTCGCTCTCCACAGAGCAAGCAAGAAAAAAAGAAAGCGAGAGGGAGATGGAGACAAAGAATATGTAAGAGGGAAAACCGGTCTTTCATGCAAAAACAACCTCTGAAGTCATCCATGGTATGTGCCCCTGTCTTTTCATACAGTGCTCTTCCCTCTGCTGCTTCATCTCCTCTGTTTGCTTCATTTTCTGATGCGCTTTATCTCCAGAAGTAAAATGCCTGTCATTATATAATCTGCAGTAGTGGATCGCTCCCAGTGATGGAGCAAGTAGTCTACTATGATTATTTTATCTGTACTAAGCACTAAATCAGACAAAGTCTGAGAATTCACTTAAAAACTCTGAATAAGGAGCAGGTGGACAGTATACAATAACAAGATATGGTTTACTATGATAACCTCTACCAGCTTCATTAATTTAAAATTTTTTTGCGTAATGTATATTTACCTTTTACAGAGCAGTACAGAGGAACGTAGGCTGTATACATAATCTTAACTTTAAAAGTAGAGTGAAGATTCAGTCGCCGTAGATGGGAGGTCATAACATGTACCAGAAACAGCAAAAAAAACAAAAAAAAAAAAACCACAAGAGACCCTTCAGAATATCACTCTTTATTATTAAATCAAGTCAAAAAAAAAAGGAATTCTTCATTTCTGTTTATGGAAACAACCATTAAAAAATCTCTCATTTAGGAAGGAGAAACATGACGTTACATCAATGAATGACTCCTTTACAAGTTTAAACAAAGAAAGAGACCTAACCAAGTAATACGATTGAAAAATGTATATGCCTTTATCACACAGGGGAAAATAAATCAGCCTTCACAAATAACATGCATTAGGAAACCCAAAAACATAGCCAGTGTTGGAAATGATGAATGCAGCAATTAGTTTTTTGTTTTGACTCCCCCAACACAATATGACAGCCATTCAGAGCTATGTATTATATTCCAACTGAATGCTACAAAGTCTAATTGAACTTATTACCACACTTTAAACCAGGAAAAGGAAACTAATCAACTTTTGAAGTCTGTGGTTGGATTGAAACCTCCATGACACCCTGTTATGCAGCCCTGTTCAGAGATGTAGGCAGGTCACAAAGGTCCTCTGAGTCTCCATCTTCATGCCAGGCTTTTGTTCATTATGTAGGAGGAGGGGGGTAGTACTGATTATATTGGGCATACTGATTGTACTGCCCCCAGGAGTTTTGTCCCCAACCACTGTATGGTTGCTAAAAGGAATGGGGGGAAAAGTAAAGTTGAAAAGGTTATCTTGATCAACAAAATATCCATCAGGTCTAACAATAACACCAGCTCATCCCTGGGATAGTTTTGTCAAACCATTATCAATCAAAGATCCTCCTAGAATATACATGGTAAATGTTGTAAGTCAACATGCTTGATGTAACAATAACTGCAATTAAGGATAACTTTTTTTTTTAGTGCTACTGAAAACTGCTTATTTGACACCTACCTGGTACCAGTTGTAGTTGTACATAGAGTTGTTGGCCTGCATATCTGTCGCTGTGTTCGCTGTAGCTGAGGAACTGTCATCAACACGCTGTCTCTTGGAATCAGGCTCTTGGGAGCTGAAGAGAAGTGAGTTAAAGTTAGAAAAAGCCTTTGTAAGTGGTTAATTAAAAAAAAAAAAAATACAGCATGTTTCATCCCTCAGTTTAGTACTCTAAGGTCACTAAACATTTCCTGACACAATCAACTGCTACAGGACACTTTGGTTAAGCTGCAGCTACTTGAAACATTTGTGAAAATTATGTTGATGTGACCAGGGTTGTGTTCCATTATCCACCTTTCATACCCGTTCTCGGCTTTTCGCTTTGTGGTTTCGCTCTCTTTCTGTAGCTTCTGATGTTCCTCATATGCAGCCACAAGCCTGATATAAACCAATGAAAATGATTCAGTATGAAAAATATATTTTTAATTATCCAAGGAGGCTCTGTAAAAGTAACAAAAACACTCACACATTGATGTCACTGCCAAAGTCCTCAAGAAACTCAACCTTGCGCTGAGAGAAAAGAAGGCGGGAATCAAGGGGCATTGGACTCTTCAAGGCACGGTCGAAACAAGCCAAGATCTCGGTCTCATTCTGTGTCACATCGCCACTGTATTCCAGCTCAAGCAGGTTCAGATAGAGCTTTGGACTTGTCTGTAAAGCCACAAAAACATTAGTGCATCTCACATCAAATAATGTGCTGCTACATTTTTTTCAATGTAATACAGGACACATATGATTTACAAATCACTATTTTAATTTTGCCTTTACATACCATCTCAACTTGTTCTGACTTGAGATTTCTACAATGAACATTTGAATAAATTGATTTTATTACATCATTTTAGGTTGTGCATCCTCGTATATAAACCACGTGAACCTAAATTTTACATCACATTCTCACCTGATTAACTGTAGATGACATCAGTTTCAAACACAAAAAAAAAAAAAAACATCTGGACATTATGACATTTTAAAATTCAGTTTGACATCTTTAAGTGATGTTTCATCAACCCTTTCTTGATTTGTTATTTAGGTAAGAAACCATCAGACATAAAAGGCAGCCCACATAGTGCAGCAGCATTCCAGAAGACACAAGTGAACAACCTTGGTAGAGTATGTTGGCCTGTAGAGCTGGTTCAAACGTCAGAGGCCTCTACAGAGAGGCGGCTCCAAGCTGACCATTTATGCACCTGTCAAAGAGGTTGTGACCAATTCTCACCTCGTCTTTTTCAATAGCATCCAGCAGCACCTTCCTGGCTTTGCTCAGACTTCTCTGCACCTTCACCAGCTGCCTTGCCAGCTTCACAGCATAGAAAGATGTCTCAGTAGCATTCTTGGCAGACTCCATGGCCTCCCTCAGTAACGCCTCTGCCTCCTCCAAGTTACCATGGCGACGCTCGAGACTAACCCTCCGAAGACGTACCATAGCTAGACCTGGGACTGCCGCCTCCAGGGACTTCAGGATGCCACGAGCCTCCTCAACGTTGCCTGGGCAAGGAAAAACAGAACACTGTCAGGCGAGCCTAACTCAAGTCACACTGTATGCATTTTGTTTTTAGAGTCTATGTACACATTTTTAAGTCCCTCATTGTCTCTTTAGCTAATTTTTACTGTTGTGTTCAATTCGCATATTGGTTTAAATTAATTCTCACCTTGCTGTTCTTCAAAGGCTGCCCACAGCAGGTGGATGCGTGGTTTCTTGGGCAGATGGATGGTACACACCTTCTTGTAGATATGTCTCACACCTTCAGTGCTGTAGCCCTCTAGATATTTTGCATACTTCAGAGTGAAAAAGAGAAAGCAAGTTGGAAGAAGTGCAAGAGAGGACAGAAGAAAAAGAACAGAGGAGAAAGAGAAAGGCAAAAGAGACAACACATTTTAAACCTAAAATTTCAGTTGTCAGAAGCAGTGAATTTCTTCATTGACAAGATCGTTTTTAGAAATTTTCTGTGTAAACCCATCAGCACCTTCATGGAACCAATTAGATAAGTTTCTGTAAGGTAGTGGGAGACGAAGAAGATGCAACGTAGTAGTTGGCAAATGCTGCAGTCAAATCTTGTGTGGCAAGCTGGCCATCCCCTAATACAACAGATACAGTCACATATCAACGTTACACGCAAAGAGAGTGCAGGACGATTTACTGTGTCGATGTGATATCATCGTTGTTGGGGAAGTGCAGGGAAGTAGCAGGAGTGAGAGAGAGGCTAAAGGTCACATTACCTTGATCCAGAACTCTTCGTAGAGAGCACAGGCGATGAGGCATCGTTCAAAAAGAACCACCACGCGCTCCGGAGTCCCATTTTCAATCTCAAAGTCCAGGTACTCCTTCCAGTTGTTCAGCTGGGTCTTCTCCAAGGCTTTGACGTGGAAGTATGGTCTCTTAATCTAAGAAGACATAAGTAAAACATTTTTTCCCAGTGTCAACAAATAAAAAGAACGTATTACAAAAAAATGTACATTGCTGCAGAGTAAACAAGACACACACCCCTTCCTCAAAGGCCCAGCGCTTGCTGACTTCATGTTCATTGTGGTTGAACATCTCTTGCCGAACCTCGATCACCTTGTGCCGCATATTCTCAATCTCTGTTACTCTCTACAGACACACAGAAAAAACATAAGGTCAACCTCCTTGTGTACGCATCACCATATCACATTCTCCACTTGATGATAAAATCTGCTAGTCCTGCAGCCAAATATTTACATCACCATGAGCTTGCCAGAGATAAGAAGCCTGTAGAGGGGGACAGGTTTTTGCAGCCTGCATATCAGCCTCTGGGTGCAGGTGCTGGGGTCAATGGGCCTCAGGTGATCCTTTTAGTTTTAGGGCGAGTCCCTGAATGGATGCCAACGTGAACCCCCCTGGAATTCACTTGCTTGGCTGCTGACATAAAAACACCTCTTCAAACCTGGGCAAATTTCTCTTTCCATGTCATCATGGAGAACAGGCAAGCTCGAGCTAAATCCTGCAAGCAGTAATTCTGTAAACTTGTCTCCCCTGCAAGACTGGCAATTGGATTTATACCTTAGCTGGATCAGGAAGATCCTCTGTACCAGGTGGAAGCTCCTCCTCAGCAACAGGTGTCTCCTCATCATCACCGACCATCGCAGCTAGGCTGGCTTTAGAGAGCTCAAGCCTGAGCGGAACAAACTCCTCCTCTGACAAGAAGTGTTTGGGGTGGTTGTTCTGCACATGATCTTTGAACCTGCACACATAAAACCATAATGTGTCCAACACACCTGGCCAATAAAGCTGATTCTGATAATTTCAGTCTCTGGTTACAGTGAGCCACTGTAGATGAAACAATTAAGGGATTAACAATAAAACTAAACATCCTAAGGTCATTTCAACACAGCTCTTCCCCCCATTCTATCCCCCACCTCTGGAAGTGCTGGGAATATAGCTGGGTTGGGATGCCCAAGATGCGGTCATAGATGGTGGTGACATTAGCAAGCTTCTGCTGCTCCGTCTCCCAGTTGATGAAGGACTCCCACAGACGGTCTGAGCGGAAGTCCGTGCCTGCCGCCAGCACTGCATGTTCATAGGTACTAATGAGAAAAAAACAAAAGGAAAGGTCTTGTGAATCTATGTGTTGTCTCATCATCCCAGCCATTTTTAATAATGACACTAGATGTCCCTCTAAATAAGATTTCCATAACACAGGAGGAGAAAATCCTATAAAGTACATCTTGTACTCACGCTCGAATTCGCCCCTCTGTCTCTGGGTCACTAAGGTCTGAGTTCTCTTTGATATAGGTCAAATAATGCAGCCACAGGTCCACACTGAGAGGGATGGCTTGCAAGCCTCTTCTGTATACCTTCAGAGGGACCAAACAGAAAAAAGTTTTTCTGTCACTATGCAGTCTCTAAAGGACCAAGACTGGGGTACAACCATGTGGTCTTGAGTCAGTGTACAAATGTAATAATGTGATAAATAATGGAGACAAAGCCAGAACAGTATAGCCAGTGACAGGGGCAATATTTGATCAGATAGAAGAGCACTTAAAATAAAAAGGTAGAAAAAGGCATAAAAACAATGAAAATGTGTCGAAAATTCATATCCTATTTACCTCTTCTGCGATATGTATATTGCCATGCTTCTTCTCTATATCAGCATACTTCTTCCAGTAGCCATAGCAGTAGGGGTAATGTAGAAAGAATAAATCAAACGCTTTTCTCACAGCTGCAAGGACGTTCTGTAAAAAAAAAAAAAAGACAGCAGCCAATATATATTGACTCTGAAGAAATACACAAACTGAACATTTCTAAACAATGTGCATATCTTCTCTTACCTCTTGCTCTACATACTGCAGCAGATAGACCCAGCCATTGAAGTCTTCTGGGTTTTCCTCACAGCCCTTAAAGAGTTTTTCAAACTCACTGGGCAGCTCTGGTTCTGCAGGGGTAGTTAACTCTAGCGTTGTCTCTTTGGATTGTTCTTCCAGCTCCATGCCATCCTCTGTCACTTGTGATGCTTCAGTCCCATCTGGAGAGGTTTACAAGAAATAATTGAGTGGAAGAATAAGCAAGGCATTGATCCTGTAGTTGTTTGTATGGCCAACAATGGAATTAGATTTTTTTTAATGTTTTTTCAAGAAATATCAAATACAGTTGAAGCTGAAAATATTCAAATGTTGTATCCAAGTCAAAAGATTTGTATTCATGTTTTGTGTAATCAACAGCATCATTTTAAACTAAATGCTGTTATTTTGAGGTACTACTGCCCATATCAACTAATGATGGGCCATAGACTGCTAATGTTTTTAACTAGTTCAGCTGAGTGAATGCTTTGCTTTGTTCTAATATACTAATTATAACCCATTTTAAATAAAGATCTTCCTCTAAGTTACATATTATATTGCTACCATGTAAGAAGACCAATTTTGCCACAATACACATCAGACACATAGCAACAACTAAACACCAGCTACTTTAATTACCTTGACTGCCATCCTGTACAGCATCCCCTGGTGCTATACTCATTTCCTGGCTCTGAGGCGGAGATTCCACAGAGTCTGCACTGTGTTCTGATGGTTGTACTGGGGGCTGTGGTGGAGGTGGTGGCTGCTCATCTTGGAGGAGCTGAGCACTGGCAAGCTGAAACTGCTCCACAGCTTTCTCCACAGATCCCAGCTCTGTAGAATTCATTTGCTGGTCTGGATGCTGCTGTTGACCTGGTGCATCCTGAGACACATCTGAGTCCTCAGGCAAGATGTTTGTGATTGGCTCTGGAGCAACCTGGTCCGGTGACCACTCGGCAGCTTGGCTTAGAACAGGAAGGTCAGGAAGAATAGCATCCCCATTGGTCTCCATGTCAGGGGACTCAGTGTTCAGCATTCCAGTAATGGTATCGTCTGAAAGGTGCAGGCCTGTTGAAAAACAGGTTGAGTTATCACCACAAGTGTAGGTGAAGTACAGCAGGGACCATTAAAACAAGAAAATGACATTAAGTGTACAGATACACAATACGCCAAACTATACAAACTGATCTTAACTTTCCATTTAAAAGGCAGATTATTCAACACCTTAAAATGCACACATTGTTGATGAAGAATTTTCCAGAACGCGCTTGGCAGCATGTTCTACTTTCTAAGATGAAAACCCAATATCTTTCACAACTTTCCAGGTGGTCACTTAAGAATTACCACCAAATAATCCTGCCGCGACACGGGCCATATTTTGCGGCAAAAGATCGTAATGTAATTTCAAACGTCAACGTTAAGATAGTCAGCTATTAACCTAACTCAGGCAGGTAGAAGCAACAGCTGGTGCAATAGGACGCTTCAATTTAATAACATTAGAGTGGATGCCAGTGTTCGCTCATATCCCAACTTTGCTATTAAAAATAATGTATCCATGTGATCGATTACTTAAATTTGTCGATTAAACACTACGTGTAGCTCGTCAACGTGAAACAAAAATTAACGTTATGTGTTCCGTCGAAATTGATTAACGTTATCCCTACTTAAAGGTAGAGATAACCTTGTTTGTTGTTTGAGGCCATGTTGTACCCGGGAGGCCGTTTGCATAGTCAAAGTTCAATCTGAAGTTGGGCCTTGACTCATACCTATTTCCTGGAACGTATTAAGGCACCGAAAAGGCGGCAGGTTGACGTTAGCGTCACACTGGCGCTCGCTTACGACACCTCGATGTTATTAACATTTAGTCACTTAGCTAGACTAACGTTATTTAACAGGACCATATGTTGTGATATTAGGCAATCACTGAGTGAGTTTTGTATATATATACATTCTAATCTTAATCACATTCCGCTAATTTTAACCCCTACAATGTGCACGCTAGTCGCTTCTATCTCCAGTAAATAGTCGGCACCAGAGGCTTCTCCGTGTTAGCTAACTGGCTAACCAGCCAGCTAACGCTAGTAGCGAGCGCCAATGTTCGCTACTAGAGTTATCTGGCTGTTGAATTACCACATTTCTAACAATAATGCAACAATTTCAAAAATGATGATGCGCTTTTGGATCTTACCAGTATGTTCCATGAAATTTTGGCCAACCTTCTGAACTTATGCGCAGCTTTCCAAAACACTTTATCTAGCTTCCTTTTCAGATGCCAGGCGTGCTTCCCCTACCCTATCCAACTTAAAGGAAGCACTAAAGCAGAGTGTGCGCATGCTCAGACCGCCGCCCGCCCATCAGTGTGTGGTAACACAGTGATACTGAAAAACATTAACGAAATGTTGCCACCTTTTTGATAACTTCATACAACGTACTAAGTAGTTCATAAAGCTCAAGACTACACAAGATGGCATTTAAAGAAAGAATCAAAAAATGTCCACGTAGAAATTATGAACCGAATTTATGATAGAAATTGGTCAGTTTGCACAATTGTGATGACAGATGTTTGAAGTTTTAGTTAGGCCTGTTTGCATTAGACTATTTCTTCATACAGGGTAAAATGACTATTACGAAATTAGTTACATTAATACCATGATTTTTGGTAATAGTGTTTTTAATAAGGAGTTATCAAGTTATAGGTTGCTTCCGACAATGAATGTTGTAGTCCCCCCCACCCCCAGCTCTGCACGCTCACAACCTCCACGTCACAGTCAAACTAATCAGACAGGAACCGTTTTGAATGATGAAACATGTCGGAAAGACCCGGCCGTAAACCCCCCATCTTAAGTCATTAGACCTGCTAAATCCGTAGATATCTTTCGCATGTATTGTGTCTGTGTGTATTTCTTCTGGTAGAGTAATACTGGAGGTGATTGGATGCATAATACAAGCTCAAATGGCGCCAACACCAGCTAATAGACTAGTGTGCAGTTCAGTATTTCGCAGCGCATGCGAAATGGCGTATAGTGCCTTTATGTGCAGTCGGAAATCTTATCATCATAACCATAAGCATAAGCCAGTCCATGATGCTCTTTTAACTTGTATATATATATATTTGTATTTATTTCTTTTGTTATTTATTCTGTTTTTATGTTGTACATATCGGGGGCCATTGAGCTGAGGTCGAATTCCCTGTATTTTTTAAATACTTGGCAATAAATTTTATGCTTATGCTTATTATCCAATGATCAGTGCATTTGTCTCCAGTGCCAACAGTGGTTTGTATGGGGTCTGTAGTTTGGATGTTTACGGTGTGCAAATAAAATAAATTAATAGAATTATTTGCTTTTAAGAGGCAGTTATACTTATCAAGCATTCAAAATAAAAGAATATATATTTGGTAGTCAGCTTAATATCTTTTTGTTTAATTTAGTTTTAAATCATGAATTAATCATTTAATTATTGTCTGGCTCTCATATGTTAAAAGTTACATGTAAGGTCAGGCTAGTGATTAGTAATTCAGATGCTGGGTTTGACAGCATTTAGGCTAATTTTATTTAATATTTAGCTTCTTTAAAGGTCAACCTAACAGCAGATAAATCTTAAATACTCATATATATATCCTCACTGGAATTTCCCCACTGTGGGATTAATAAAGTTCTACCTACCTACCTACAATGGTTAAAGATCTCATCTAGCTATCATTATGTGTCAGTACACAATGAAATCACTGTTGCGTGTGTTCAGGCTTGAAGCAGAACTCAAAGTTTCAACCAGATAGGGCAGTGAAACACTGCTTCCACTTGTTCTAACTCACTTGGCAGAAAAGTTTGTGTTCACCCTACCATTCCTAGTAACAAATAGCTGCTAAATTAGTTTTCAAAAGAGAATTGTCTTAAATTTCAAGTAATCATGAAATGATTTCAATGTTGCACACTAGTGTGGCCTAAAAATTTAAATTATTGTAATTACTTTAAAAAATGTAATAAATCACCTATTATGTGAATATGCAGCCTATGCTCTTTTTATGTTGCCTATTATGTAGGCTAATTTCCCAGCTATTAGTCTGATTGGCAAATATGATGTTTTTTAACTTTATGAATTACATTTGCTTGTTAAGAGTGTACATATGCATTAAGAGTGTGCATATGCATTCCCCATATGTCCAACACACCTGGCCAATAAAGCTGATTCTGACATTGTTGTATTTTTATTAACCAAAAGCAGAATATATTATACGTAGATATATTATATATGTAAATAAAATTATCTCATATAAGGTAACAAAAGTAGGGAAAATAGAAATGAAAACGGTTGATTTAAAACTTCCCACGCTACTATGCAGTTCCCTTTACCTATATTTGGATGTTTTGTGTATTCGGATGTCGGAGCTAATGAGGAGCTCATGAACGCAGCGCCAGTGTCAGTGTGTGAGAGAGAGCAGTGTAGAGGAAGTGGCGGCTGATCTAGGTCCGCACCTTTTCCGGTAACATAGCACCGCCACCGCTGTGACTGAACGGTTGGAGAGAGAGGGAGGAAGAGACAGAGAGGGCGGCAAGAACGGGGAGAAACGGACTGGGGACTGGGGGATGATTGCCGCAGACATAGGTATTTGTCCCATTCTCTATGTTCTTTGTTTTTGCTGTGCTTTTCGGTCCGCAGAGAGAATATTTTTCCGATCCAAAGTTGTCCTCTGTACTAACACCCCTCCCTTCTCCGGACCGCTCTTGTGTCACAGGGGGAAAAGAAGAAAGTCGGATGAATCAATGACCTTTGGGGGACTCTTCCGCTGGATGTCCCTGTGGAGAAACGGACCAGAGAGGTTGTATATTGGTGTGTTTTAATAAGAAAACACGTTGCTGTGAAATAAATCGACTGGAATTGGCAAAGGGCAAGTGTGGACAGCCGGCAGCAAAGGAGGAAGTGGGAACCCCGGGCTTTGGACGGGGCCTGATTTATATAGTAGGCTTTCTCTAAAAAGCCACTCCGGCTCAACTCAGAGTAGCATTTTGAAGGAGAAATAAGACTTGAAATGTGGGCTTTGAAGGAAGTCTGTGTCCAACAGCTAGTCTGAAACGAGGGAATGTACATTTTTTTCTTTTAACATTGGAGGTCAGTGGATCATGAACATATATCTCCACCCAGTTCTGCGAGGGCTCCATACATACCGCTCCCATTGAGAGCTCAAAGTCACCATCTCAGGTCAGATGCTTACAGTCCAACTAAATGTACTGTTATCTCCTGTTATCTGTCCAAACTTGAAAGTCGTCGCCTTTGACCAGTGACCTAGTGATAGCATCTCCCCACCGCTGCCATCACGTGGAGGGCTCTGAACACACATTCAAAGTGTAGCAACTTTTTCTCTCATTAGAAAAGTTTTTTTTTTCCTCTTCTACCAAACTATTTATGCACAGAAAACAAGATGGGGAAAATGCTCTCAAAGATCTTTGGCAACAAGGAGATGAGAATATTGATGCTTGGACTTGATGCTGCTGGGAAAACGACCATCTTGTACAAGCTGAAGCTGGGACAGTCAGTCACCACCATCCCTACAGTTGGTTTCAACGTGGAGACTGTCACCTATAAGAATGTGAAGTTCAATGTGTGGGATGTAGGGGGACAGGACAAGATCAGGCCACTTTGGAGACATTACTACACAGGCACCCAGGGCCTCATTTTCGTGGTGGACTGTGCCGACAGGGACAGGATCGACGAGGCGAGGCAGGAGCTCCACCGAATCATCAATGACCGGGAGATGAGGGACGCCATCATCCTGATCTTTGCCAACAAACAAGACCTCCCAGATGCCATGAAGCCCCACGAGATCCAGGAGAAGCTTGGCCTGACCCGGATCAGAGATAGGAATTGGTACGTTCAGCCCTCATGTGCTACATCAGGAGATGGACTATACGAGGGCCTGACCTGGCTTACCTCAAATTACAAATCTTAATGTATCTCTCCCTCACCAGCCTGGACACTTGGAGGCAAAAACATTAGCTGAGAATGAAAACATGTTTAAAAAATGCAATCTAAAGCAATTAATACCATGACCTCTCTGCTAAGTATGTATCAAAGAGAGTAGCAGTTATATTTTGCTTTACTTTTCTTTTTGATAATGATGGCTTTACTATAACCCCAGGTTTCTTTCTTTTTCCCTTGTAGTTTGCTTTGGTTGACATTCTATGTAATCAGTGCTGTTTAGAGACACCATAAGCTTACTTTTGAGTTCTTTCTGCAAGTTTCTTTTTTCCCTCCTTGTATAATTTCTGGGGGAGTTTGGGACACGCTGTTATAGTTTTGCCCCTGCTTAGTTCTCATTCAGTATTCTCATAACCCAGCTACATAGCCAAAGGATGGGAAGAGTACAGAAACATCAGCATATCATTTTCAAGACTCCGACTGCCTTTGTAAGAATGTGTGTTCTGGTTATGTTAGGACCTTGACAAAAATGGCAGTTTTCACAACTGATTGTACTGGGATGAATGAGGAAACGTGTTAGTAGTTATTTCCTGTGCCACAATTACATCCATAATGTCAATTGTGGCTGTTTGTTTGAAAGACTATGTGGACGCTGGATATTCACACACACTGTGATATGGATATATATATTTTTGTTGTTTCCAGGTCTGAATATGTTACCACTAGTCTTATTGTTTCTCCCAGAGCTTCCATTACTGTTGAGTATTTGTAGTCTGAACTGCCTTAGCAGGGGTTACAGGTGCCACATAGTCAAGACAGTTAGTCTGGCAGAGGGTATTCTCAGCCACTGAGCTTACACTTTCGGAGGGGCGGGGCGGGGGTTACTGATTAGCTGGCTGTGCACATTTTGACTTTCTGTAACTGACTTTTGGACCCCAGCAAGTGTTTACGAACTTCCCAGCTGACCCCCACCTGCAACCTCAAATGTAGGTGCTTTGGTGACTGCAACTTCTTCTTCTAATTTTATTTACAGACACACCAGCTTTTTGTTACTAGCTCATAGATACTGTTCTGTTTTATTTTTGTTCCCTGTTTATTTTGGCTATGTTGATGAAATAATAAAAAAATGTATATCCAGATCAGTGCGGAGGTGACTTTTTCTTCAATAAGCAGCTGCAACCCTTAGACAAAAGTTGTTTTTCACTCATGAAAAAAAAAAAGTTAGGCTTGTAGAAGAGGAAGTGAGAGCTTAGGGTGTTAATGATGGTTGAAAGAATACTAGCTAGAACGAACCGTGAAGTGAAGTGAGCCTCGGCCTGTTTCCTTTCTCCACTTGCACGTGTGAGTCATTGGCTGTGAATAAATGATGAACTCTCTAGTTTCAGAGTAGTGATTGTCAGAACTACGCTTTGACAAAGGTCCTAAAGTATCACATGGTCTGTCAGAGTGCTGACTAAGGACTTTTGACATTTTCAACGGAAACTAATTAAAGAGGTAATGCTGAGTTATTCCATATCTTGAACTGTGGAAGGTTAAAACTCAACAAACCTTAACATTTTAGGAAGACACACAACAGTAACTCCTGTTTGGCCTTTACACAAGAGTGCTGTCAAAAGGAAAGCAGAATAACAGCAGGAAATGACACTTTCTCACAAACTAAAATTTATATTGTGGTATTTAGCTTCATAATAAAAGTCTTACACTGAGTGAGAGTTTGTTCATAAGCAGAGTGAATTTGGGTTACGTGACGAGACCAGCATCTGGTTTCATGCTTGTGAGTGAGAGAGCTGGGTGACAGTCTCATGAAAAGGTTTCAGCCACTCTGGCATTGTGCCCTGGGTATGCGAGTCATCCCGAGGTGCAGATGGGACATCAGACCACTGTTTCATTTCAAAACGACTCATTTTCTTTTTCCCCTCTGCTTTACTGTAATTTCACATGTTTCTGAGCCACAAGGAAAAGCAGACTAGCTGTGCATGTAATGTCACACGTAAAAGGAGGAGGGTGTGAACTGTGGGTAGTGACATCACTGTGTGAAGTCAGGAAATAGCTGTCACAGAAATTGGTGGTGAGCAAAAGCAGTGATAGTAACTGTCAGGTTGTATCTTCAACGTAAACATATACACAGGTGAGATCCTAATTCCAGTGTAGAGAGTTGTTTGACTTTATGCGCTAGGGTAATAGTTACCTCCAATTTCCTGAAAAGCTCACATTTTAGGCTACATTTTTTTCATAGTATGTTACTATAGCAGTACTCAGGAGAGTCACCATTC